CAGAATTGCTCACTGCTGGTGCTGCTGGAGGCCCAGGGAAGGCCCAATAGTAGTTTCCACATATACCCTAGGAGAATTTGGCCTTCAGGCAAGAAACAGGGCAGGTTTGTAGCTATGGCCATGAAGACAGCGCAGCCCACCCTGCCAGCCACTGACGTAGCCATGGGCTGGATCCTCTCCTAGGCAGGTGAAAGGCTGCTTCACATCTTGGGAAAGCAAGCTGGTTTGCTCACTGCTGCTAAGAGGATTGTGCCTGGTTGCGGGTGCTCATTGCCTCATTCTGGAGCTGGAGGATTTGCTGGCCATTTTAAGGGGCAGAGACCGGGGCAATATGATTATATAGGGGGACATCTGTCCTGACCTTTGGCTGGCCTGGACCCCACTTTGGAAAAGGGTACACCATGCTGTAAGGCAACAGGTTTGCAAATGCCAAGTGGCATTTAGTGGCATTTAGTCTCTGAATTTGGGAGGGGGGAACAGAGAGCAGGACAGAGCTTAATCTGCTTTCTTTGCACACCAGCTTCCCAGGAACATGCCAAAGGGGCAAAGGGCTGCTCCCCAGGGAGCTCGGTGGACAGACAGCCCAGTGGTCCTCGCCATTGGCACTGCTCAACCTCAACTCCTGTTGGCAGGTAGCTAACCCCTCTAGAACACAGGTGCTTGCATCCACAGTGAAATCGGCTGCTTGGGCACTTGCTTCATCCTGTGATCCATAAGAAAGAAAGGTGTTATCTCAGGGCAGTGCCTGTGCTTGCAGGCAATACACTGCAGTCTTTGGTCATGAAGAGATGATATAAAGGTCCTAGGGGAACGTACACAAACAGGATGCCAAAAACACCTGGGCCCTGCATTCCTGGTCTTGTTCTCCTCTGTACCAACAGGTCTGCACTGAATACGTGCCCCCTGTCCTTCTTCCCAGCCTTTCATGGAGCCGGGTGACGCTGGCCACAGGGGAAGGGACTGACAGCAGGTTGTGGGGGCTTCCCTGCACCCTGAGCGTTGGAAGAGGGCAGCTGTGCACATGGGGTCCTGGGAAAGGAGTGGGTGAGAATGGGGGGACTGTCCACAGAGGACAGTGTCAGGCACAGCGGAGCCCAGGGGGGTGGGAAAAGGGCTGAATCTAGTTTGGGCTCCAGCAGGGTGAAGCTCTGCATGGCCAAGTCCCCTGGGCACCCCCTGCTATACATGCTGGGACCAGAGCTGGGAGGTGGGGGATGGTGAGGGAGGTCAGCCCCAGCCTCCTTCCACTTCTGCTTTCCAGGACGCAAACCTCCAGTGCAGCTGGCTCAGACATTGTTTAATCCTGTCTCCAGAAAGGCTGAAAAGAGTTTTCCCAGGAACCCACACATACACTGTACCACAACGGTGAGGTCCACACTGCTGTTTCACCAGGGACCCCTTACCATGGTGGCAAGGGGAACCAGCATCCCAGTGAGACAGTCTGTGGAGCTAAGCACTCAGGGACAGCTTGGGGACAAAGGGGGCTGGTCTCTCCATACCTAGCTCAGAGGAGTGGTCTCCTGGCTGGAGAAGGGGCCAGGAGGGTGGCAGTAACAGATCTGTCCTTCACAGCCAAAAAGGCTGGTCGTATTCGGTGGGCTTAATCTGCTTAATCTTTGGCTTCGTATTCGGTGGGCTCTCTGCTTAATCTTTGGCTTGACCCCAGCCATCCTGGTGAGGGAGCTGCACTCCCACCCATCCCACAAATCAAGACACTGTCTGTGAAACGCACCGTGGTATCGTCGCAGAACTACCTAGTGGGTTATCTCTTGGAGCAGGCTTGTCCTTCAAACATGGACCTCTCGCTCAGGGCTGCCTGGGAGATGAGAGCTGAACAGTTGTCCTTCCCACAGCAGAACAGGTCTCAGTGAGCTGTTTTCAGGGTGAAGCCAGCCAGATGCAACCCTGACACAAGCATACCTTGCTACTGTGGGCTCCACAACCATCAACACATGTGCCAGGAGAGGCTCAGGCTGGCAGGCAGAGCAGCTGCTGGCCAGCATGAAGCCTGGCAGGTGCAGACAGAGCCTGGGTAGGGGCTGCAGAACTGGGGAGGCCTGGGCCAAACCTGAGCTTCGGTTCCCATCAGCTCCAGGGCCCTGTGAGAGTCGTTTGACATTCACACTCCGAGAGCGTTCACATACCTCAAGACCAGTGCGCTATCCACTAGGCAGCACCACCTGCCTTGCATGTTGGGTTTTCAGTGAAACTAAAAGTTGCTGCGTCCAGCCTAGTGGTACAATAGGCAGATAGGGTTTTGACACAGAGTAAATGAGCTGAAACATTGTCTTTGCCTCATCACATCTGGCAAAGAGTTTTGATTGAAATACATATGGGGGGCGGGGAGACTGTCTAACTATTTTGCACTGACATATCTGAAATCAAAATGGCCAAAATGTTTTGACTTTCCATTTTTTTCCCCAACACTTCTTCCAAAAAATACCAGTAAAATAATTGGAAGATGCGAGAGATTGTTTCATTCTAGGCCAAATAAAGCACTTCAGGTTTGCAGAAATTACTTCCCTCTCCCCCCCATGACAAAACAGGACTACTTCTCTTTCAGCCTGGCACATGCCACTTGTTTGTTTTGCTGCTAGATATGAAAAATTCATCCTAACTATCCTGGACATCTGTTGCTTTTGGAAACAGAGCATGTTGGGTGCTGTGCTGCTTGGCTCTGAGGAAGTGGAGAGAAACATACATCCTATTTTCTCATCCTCCAATGAGCCAGCCAATGCCTCCTGCTCTTCCCAAGCCAGAACTGTGTGAGAAGTAGTGCTAATTAACTCAGTGCTCCTTAACGAAGGGAGATGTAAACCTACCTTTGCTGCGGCAACGGCAAGGTTTTGTTCATGCTCTCCAGCAGCCTGAGGGCATGATGGGCGCTGCCAGTCATTGAATGAATACTCATGGGAGGATAATTTAGCTTTTGCAAGCCAATTTCAGCCTGCTCCATCTTCACGTCTCTCCAGTCTGCCTATCCCCAAGATCCAGGTAGTCCCTCCCCCACCGCAGCATCTCCCCCAATGCCAGGAGCTCTGTACATACTGCACCCTACTCCATTCATTTGACTGTATTAAAAGACATCCTTGAAATAAAAGGCCCTCAGAAGCGTGGTCAGGAACACTGCTGTCCCAGAAGGCCTCAGCAAACACCATCTCCGGTTGTTGATCTACACATGATTTAGCAGGGCTTGAAGGTATGGCTCTACTTCCCACTTCTTCATTTTCTAGACCCTGCTTGCCTCAGACCAATCCAGCTCTAGCCTCTACTGCTCTTGTGTTTTCTCAAGTACCAAAACTAATCAGCTCTGTCACCTGACTACAGACAAATCCCAGCAAGATGAGAGTACAGCCTTTGCAAGCTTGAAAATCAAGCAGGGAGAATGCAGGGATGATGACACCTCCACAGAGTGGACAGAGGATCTGAAGCCTCAGTGGTGCGCTCCCAACCTCAACAAGCACCACTTTAGGGACATCCCAAGTGCTGCTAAAGATAAGCAACACCAGCAGAATTCCCTTGCTGAATCAAAAATACTGATGATAAATTTACATCATGCTGCGTGCTCAGCCACCACAGAATTGCAGTGCTACCCCACCGCTGGCGCAGCTGTTCTAGCTGTGGTCTGAAAACTGTTGTTGCCAAGACACAAGGCGCAACTTCCTCTCACCAAGTCTTAGCGCGTATTTGCACCTACACCTCCATTTTCCCTCTAACACTTGCATTGAAGTTTTAATTTTATGCTTGAAGTCCAAAGGAGACCAGGAGACCACAAAAAGCTTCTCTGCCAATTCCATGCCAGAACACCTTTATCCCTCTTCTCATAGTGAGATTAGGCTAGGGAATGTCTTCCTTGCTCTCGCTCCTGCCAGGGATCTGCTGCTTTTGGCCAAGAGCCAAAGCAAATGTTCCTGCATGGTTACACAGCTCAGTTCCCTAGCTCTGGAAAGGCCTTGTTCTCCCTGAGTCTCTGCTCCACAGTGGCACAGGCTCCCACCACCTGTTTAGTTACCTGCCATTCAGGGAGAGAGTGCAAAGCAAGCATGTCCATCACGCCAGTAGCAAAATCACTAAGTATCGAGGTGCTGCACAAAACCCCTGCACTGCAACCCCTAAACCTGTCAGCTGCTATTCTCTTTCCTCTTAGCATTCATCTTCATGCTCTCTCCTAGATAATCCCCCCATCGATCTCTCAAGCCTCTTCAAAAAGCCCCTTGTTTCTACAGTGTTTGTCGTTGTAAGATGCTCAGCTCCGCTCTGCAGGCTGCTGCATCCCCTTGGGCTTCTTAAAATTAGTCTCAGTTCCTTGGGGACAGCTGCCATAGCTTTAGCTCTCTGGGGGACCAGCACTGGAGGAACCTACTTCTAGCCATTGAGACGCTCCATAAAACAGAAACCTCAAGAGGCTAAAAGCTTGCAACTGAGCAGCTGCAGTCACCTACTTACTACCAAGAGCCTTGGAGAGATCCAGAGGCCAACGTCTCTTTCTTGCTATGTCGCTATCCTCCTCAACAGAGGAATCACTCAGCCTCTGCCTCAGCTTCCAGTCTGCAGAACTGTAAAAACCAAGAAACTCGACTGGTAGCACTGCAGGCAAGCCAGGAGTAAAGCAAAAAGGCAGGCAAGCAACTCTCACCAGGTCTGCTTTCTTTCACTCTGCACATTTTACAATGGTGCTTGAAGTCCTCCTCTGGACCAGACCCGGGCACTCTGCAATACAGCAGTGGGTCTGCCACGATTGCCAGTCACCGGTGCTGAAAGAGCAGAACAGCTTACATAGATGCCACACTTGGCATTCTTGCTTAATTACCAAAGCAGAGACTTAAATGTCAGCTACTATTTCCACTAAAAATGCTTCTGGCCCCTTCTGAAAGGGTAGGGGTCACACTTGTAGCATGACAAGAGAGCTGCTTGCTAAGATAGTTACAAAAGATCAGACTCTAAAGAATCCCGCACTCCTAACGTTTTGCAAAACTTCAGAGGATTCAGAAACTGCACAGTGGTAATCCAGGTGATGTTTATTAGAGCATTTCAAGTATACAACGATTTTACTGATGGCTGGGGATAGTAAAGAGGCAAACTGATGCCAGTAACAAGGGGTGACCTACAAATAGCAGGCTGTGTAATTCTCATGGAAAATTAATGCTTTCAGCTGACAGAAGAGGAAAAAGATCAAATTTGGGGCTGGAGAGGAACAAACATAGAAGTTTCTGTTTGAGACAATTTACTTGGCAATTCACATGTAGCAGAAGCTGTCTGCTATTGCACTTTTCCATCAGCAAACTGAGGACCTAAAATAGCCAGCTGTGTTTTTTTCCATGCAGAACAGATAATCTCCCATGATAAGGATGGAGGCCTGCATGGGTGGGTGATTCTGGAGCATCAGCTCAGCACTTTGAGGGATTTAGATCCCCAGCTTTGCACACTCACATATAAGAACCAGGCTGTTAGACTTCCAGCAACAAGGAAGCAATGTAGACTTTTAGCAAGAGCATATTAAAACTATCAAATCCTCACTATAAGGCAACTTTAGATAAGCACTCTTTTGAGTGTGTGAGCAGTAGAAAAGCAAGGACTACACGGCAACTAGACTACAAGGTCCTCTGACAACAAGCAGATGGGACTGTGCGTGTTTTGCCGTAACAATTTCTGAAAGACATGTCTTTAAAAATATTTTAAAGGAGAAATCCTCTGACTGATGCCTAAAAAGGGCATCACTAGGGAAGAACTGATCTATGGACTGATCAGCTCAAAGAAAGCCTCTGGTTTTTGAGGCCTCGTACTTTATTGAGTATGTCTGATGTCCAAGTTAGTAATTCTGTGTTTAAGATGTTAGCTGCCTCAATTGTGTCTTAGTCTCCTCCATTTATCAACAAAAAGCATCCGAATCCCATTGAATTCAACATCTTTAAAAATAAAAAATTATTTTAGAATTTAAATGCTTAACCTTTAAAAGGATACCTCCAGCATGACTGTCCATTAGGACTACTGAACTCTGTGGTAAGCTCCAGCAACTGAGTTAGTAGGCAGGCTAGCAAAATGCAGTGGAGTTTCTAAGTCTCCTGAATACCGCTCACAAGTTAAACATTCATTAACCAATTAATCATAATTCTTTCCAGCAAAGTTGCTTAAAAAACTGTCTTCAGCAAAGACTATTTGAAAATTCTGGTGAGCAAGTGATTTGCAAGTAAAACAGAAAAACTATTAGAAATGGTAACAACATAGTCTGTTTAATCAAATCAGACCTGATCACTTCAAAACATGTTGAGGACAGCCACTGAACTCATATCCTGGATGCTGCAGTGCCTTCCGCCCAAGTACTTTACAGTTGCTTTTTTGAAACTGTTTGTCTGAAGGACAACAATGGAAGACAAGTCAGGATTTAATGACAGATCTCAAACAGAGGGCATACACACATTAAATTATCAGATTCAACCTTCAGCATACAGAAGTTTGACACAGTTACTGGCTACAGTCACAGGAAAAGTTCGAAAGTTGAACAGTCTTGAACCACTTTTGAAAATTTCAATGGCTTTTGTAAAAGTTCCAATGAACAACAGGTATATAAAACTGAGATGGACTGGCTTCTCCAGCAGAACAGTTGGGGTTCTTCAGGCTGATCAGACCACTGGTACAGAAGGGAGTTGATTTGGCTTCCCCCACCTTCCCACCAGTCCACTAGAGACTATGATTTATTAAAATCTTCTCGATTTACTGAAGATTGATTTAACAAGCAAGGGCTGCAGACTGTGTCAATCATAGTGGATGGCAGTATAGAAGATTATCCAAACAACCTGTGGCGAGGAAAGGAAGCTGAGGTTATTCTTATACCTCTAGAGAGGCTTCAAACACTGAAAACAAACCTCACACCTAGCTCTCAAGAGAGGACTGCAGACTGAATTCGAGCTTTGAGACTGTCTCAGAGAGATGTTAGGATCACCATGCACCACAAGCCTGTGGCACTCAGCTTGCTTGGCTTCCAGGGTGACCAACTTCTCTGCGCTAAAATTCTGTCAATTGTTTTAGAGGCATCACCAAATCAAGTCATGAGGGTATTCAGAGGCTTGGGAAAGGGAAGGTGGACAAAGTAGGAAATGTAAAGACACTCAAACATGAACACAGTTTGGGTATAAATAGCTCTGGATGAAGCTCCACTGGAGCTGACGAGCAGTGCATCTGTGACAGAGGATAGGAAGGCATAAAAGTTAAGTGGTGGATGCAGAAGCATATCTGCCTGCTCCTACTTCCTTCCTACAGGGAAACGTCAGTCATCAATACTGTATTATTTCAGAGCCAGCAACCATCAAATTTCAGGCTTCTCTTTGCTGATCAATCCTATTTATTAGATTATGGTAACATCTCTCTCTTCTATCTATGCACTGGATCATCTGCTTTTCTTCCTAGGACTTTTACCGCAGAAAGTATACCAATCCAATTCACAAATCTACTTAAAGGGAACAAAAGGCATTACCAAAAAGAGCGCAAAAGATGTCATGAATCCTTCCTTTGTCAACTCCCATGTTCCACCATACTCCTCCTCATCTATCTGCTGGAAGCTGCTGAAGTAGAGGTACAGAACACCAGCATTGATCAGGCAGAATCTGGAAAAGAGAGATTAGAAACTGTAATTTCTGCAATAAGAGTGCAGGCATTCATTCTGCCATACAGAATCATAGCCATGAAACACTTTTTCTCCTCAGCAGAGTGGAAGCAAAAAGGAACGCTATCTCTGCAATATTCTCCAGCTTCCTCCAGGTCATCTTGATACAGCATACTAGAGGTTTGGGTGAAGTTCACCTTCCCCAACCACAGCCTACTCCTATTAACACTGGAAAGCCAGTAGGCAAAAGCTGGAAGCATCAGCAGCAGGATATCTACAATTGCAGGGTTGATGCAATATCTCGATCTTTCACATCACCTGGAAAGGGGCCCTGCAAGTTTTCATCTACTGCAGATCAGTAGCACTTGTTCTGCTCCAACACAGAATCTAAATTGCTTGTGCAAGGTACTTGATTTTGAGGCTGCTAAAAGGGAGGACCTGCTGTGCTCGGTGTTAGACCCCTGCGTTAGTGTCCCATGACCAAATGCAGTGACTGAAGATGAGAGCCAGAGAAGACCTGATAGAGCCTCTCAGAGCCACAGCACTGCGGTTCAACTTGAGGCAAGTCACAATGCTCTCTAGTCTGTGCCAAAATAGAATATATGCAACTTCCTTTCTGACCTCAGGCCAGTCTGGCCTTATTCCCAACCCCAACTTAAGACTGGGACAGCCTGCAAAGAGAAGAGTATGTTTCCTAGAAAGGAGTCTGTGTAACAAGGGTGATGCTGGAAAAGACTGCCACCATAAACGTAAGGTCAGTGATTGGCAGCAAGTCACAAACAGCAATTCAAATGCATAGCATAGTCAGATAAACCAACCACATACAATTTTAGAAGCTTTTAGTTTTTCCACCTTACACCAAATCATTTTTACTTCCTATTAACATTCAGCACAGGAATCGGCTCATGTGCCTGAAGGTGCCTTGTGAATTAATGGATGACTAAGTAAGAACAATGTTTTTCTCAACTATTCCATATCTATTACTGAGAGCATTTTAGATTTAACTGTTTGCACACAGCTATTCAGTCCCTGCTAGAGGGTCATGTGTTTAGATCCCCATTTCTACAAGTTTCACACTTTATTTTTTTCTTACAGGTATTCGCTGCTACTCTCTCCGCTTTCTTGCCACAGCTAGGATTTAGGAGAAAGGAGAAGATGGCAGTTAATCTTCCTTAAGTCTGGCTGTTCACTCAACTCCCAGGCAAGCTTTGGGCCTACCACACAGCTCATGCTAAGGCCTGACGCGTGCTAGGAGTAAGGACTAAGCCCTTTTGTGACCTCTACCTAATGAGCTCATGAAGTATCATTTGATTTACACAATATCTTGTCTTGTAAACTTGAGAGACCAAGGCACAGGTGAACCGTGACACACACTTAGGGGTGTCACATTTGGGATGTCTCAGATGTGTTCTGTTGGCAGGCACATGATCCTTTGCCGTGCTGACTGGGGTGACTGTTTGAGCGCAACTGTAGCATGCGCATGTGTCAGAGACAAAAACCTAAACGGTGTGTGGCGACCACTGGGAGATAAATAATAATACAAGCTACCTTGCTGAAAACCACTATTTTAGCTGAATTGGAGGGACCAGCACACATTGCCCCAGGTGCTGGGCAACCCCCTTCCGCAGAATTGAATGCCTGGACCATTATTTGTGAACCAGGACACCTCCATCTCATAGCAGAGGTAGCACTGAAATCAGTAGCTTTAGCCATTAATACACGCTTAAATAGCAACACCTTCCAAGAGATCCCCCAACACAAGCTAGCGGATTTACTGCTATACATCATAAAAGATGAAAACCAGAGCAGAACACCACTAAAGTAAATGTTGCAGAAAAGAGCCAGCTTGTCTCTATGCAAAAGGGGAAAGCAAAAGGGAGAAACCAGGGAGCACCCTCAGTCACTACAAAACATAAGACATTATGGAAGATGTGTTTAGATAAAGCGCTCTCTCCAAGTCAGTTAAATGGGCTGTCACAGAATCACATAATGGTTGAGGTTGGAAGGGACCTCTGGAGATCTAGTCCAACTGCCCTGCTCAAGCACGGCCACCTAGAGCACACTGCCCAGGACCCCTGTTCAGATGGCTTTTGAATATCTCCAAGGATGGAAACTCCACAACCTTCGCTGGGTAATTTGCTCTAGTGTTCAGTCACCCTCACAGTAAAGTTTTTCCTCATGTTCAGACAGAACTCCCCACGTTTCATTATGACCAGCACTGGAAGTAGTGAGCAGCTTGAGTAACGTTTACCCCCCCACAAACACTGCATCCAGATTGATGACTGTAGCAGGATTAAACTGATGGTTTGCTACACACCCAATGCCAGAAGAGATACAGTCAGATAATAGATCATATTTTAAAAATAAAATAGTACAAGAATGCTGTCTTGAGCATGGAGTCAAGTGGACTTTCCACTTACCCTACTGACCTCAGAGTAATAGTGCAGTAGAAGGATGGAATGGGTTGCTTAAAAAGAACTCAAATGGCGTAATAGTGGCACCAACTGGGGAGGAAACTTATGGGAAGATGTGCGAGCCTTAAACTCCTGGCCGACACCTACCGGTAGTCTACTATACAGAAGTTTTGAACAATCCCCTCTGCTGAGCCAATACCAGCAGGGTAACTTAGACACCTTAGTATGGCATCCTGGAGATCAGGTAAGGAATCAGCATCACGGCTCAGAAAACACCGGGTTACTTTGAAACGCTTTTGAGGGAAAGGAGCGTGTGAAACTCCAGGTACTATAGGAGTAGATTTAATCATTACTGAGGCTTAGATACGATCCAAGACCTAAGTTAGCTTGTTCCCTCCCCCTAGGAGCTGCTGGCCTCCTGGACAAATGAATGGAAGCTGTCGTTCAGCCTACTACAGAAAGTGTCCACATAACAAGTACACTAATTGTCACATAGGGAAGAAGTCTAGAATGAGAACTATGGTCCAGCCTTGGAAGTACTAACAACATTATCCTGTTTTGTTACTTGTTGCACCAGTAGTTTTGATTTTGCTGCGTCATCATCACAGAGTGTTAACAATACACATGTGAATCTATTAGAAGACCTTGACCAAGGTGGTGATGCCCACAGGGAACAGAGCCATCAGGATTCATTATGGAGGTTTGTGTGCCAATTAACCATTGAGCTCGTGGCTTGTGCATGGTAAGCAGCATGTAATTTGAAAATTCCCCCAAATCCATTACCACTACTGCAACACCAGTAATAGCTGCCCAAGGATTTCCCCAAAAGTCTGCAATTTTTACATCTGAAGTACATGAATTTTACACTAAGATTTGGTAGGACAGCGTTAATATTAGTAAAGTATACTCAAATTGCTTAGACAATATATGATCAGTGACATAAGTCCATCTGGAAACCCCAGACAGTTAGGGACACTTCCACTAGATTTGGAGCCGCTGGATTGGGCACAGGAGGGTTGAATTCCATGGACTTAGATATCATTAATAATAAAGTGTCTAGGCTAGGACAATTAAGCAAACAAGCTAGAATTGGTCAGACTATGGATAGTAAAGGGAACGCATACAACCACTAGAATCCTGACTATTAGCCTAAGCTCTTGGAAAAAGCTCCAAGAGATTCTGACAGGGATGTATGCTGATTTTCACAATTTTGCTTCAAATACCAGCACTGCCATTGCTTGTGTTACTATACAAACCTTTGGCATAAGTGAATGTGAACAATAAGCCAATTGCACCCATAGTGGAGATCCTGCTGCGTTAGGGACCCTTATTATCATTTTGGTGTCAGAAATGTAAAACTCACTTTACCAAAATTGTATACTTGGGAGTAGGAAGCAGGAGCAGTCTGTTGAGTGGATCCATTTATTACTACACCATAAGAAAGAAGTTACCAGTATACCCCACTTCCTATTATTGTAGCTAATAGGATACAGGCTGCAGTTCAAGGAAGCAAACGGATGGATAACGAAAGGTAATCTATCTAATTGATACTCATGGATGTGAACAATGAAGAAACCAGGAGCTGCACGGCCCCAAACCCTTATTTGAGTAATCGAACCTCAGGTACCTGCTATTTAGACTCAATGTGTGATAATCACACTGTTGTACCTGAGAGAAAATTAGGTTGTACGTGTATGTTTTCTCTTTGTGACGTCCCATGGAATGACAGGAATAAAGCACATCATGGCTTGAAAGAACAATAACTTCAGCAAGCTGGCAGAGCTGCAGAAGCACTGCCAACGGTGCCACTTTGCCTGTTTGTTACTTACCCTCTTTGATATCTTGAAGAAAGCTTTTCTTTTTCAAAGAGAAGCTGGCCTCTTGTCCACTAACAGAACCCCCTCTCCAAGGAAGGCTCCTGATCCGAAGCTAGAGACTACCTCACCTTTCCCTGTTTGTGTTCTTACTTCCTAGAAGGACCCACTAGGCACCATACTCATAGACCCCATTCACACAGGCAGGAACAACCTACTTTACAAGTCAGTCAAACCTTTTATTCCCTTCTTCCACCCCTTCACCCTTTAATAAAATACGATAATAATTAAAAAAGCATTAGTCAGGTCAAGGGGGTAGAAAGAGCTTGATCTGTTCGAAGAACAGTTCATGATAAGTAACAGTCTGGAATGCAATGCTGGATTTAAGAAGCACAATAAACAGACATTGCATTTGGCCAATCCACCGTTTATAACACAACTTTAAAACAGACAAGAAAAAAATAAATGTGGGAAAATATATGAGACAGAAAAGGAAATAAACCTTACATCGCTATTCCCACGAATCCCTTCAGTGGAACTACTCCCCAGATGATTCCCAAAATAACTGCAATGATCTGCCGGAACCAGTAGATCACATCTAAAAACTCATCCTGGGGAGACAAAGCACAAAAAACATTTTGGCATTTACTGCATTTTCTTTCTTTTTTTTTTTTTAAGGCATCATACAATTAACAATTGAAAATTTTACACACTGAATGCTTTTTTTTTTTTAAAAGGTTATATATAAAGTTATTGTATTTAGAGCAGACAAAAGCAGCTTATGACATCATGAACCCTCGACATTTCTGCTTTCAAATTAAATACACAGCTTTGTTCTTCAATAGGCTAACTGCAGGAGAAAATAAGTATCTATCTAGTCCCTTTGATTAATAACGATTAAATTTGTTAAAATGAATAAAAACTCATTGGAACAAAGCATAAACTATGTTCTTTAAACTTCTAAGACCGTTATCACCACCCTCGGTGCTTGTCCACCCAAAAAAGAGTGCTGCCAATAGCTAGCGCTCATGCCAACTCCAAACCTCAAATCGGTACATATGTCTTGTGCTTACTACAACTGAGTCTTCTTTCACAGCAACAGTACAGTGGTTATTCCTGTTCTCCCATAGAGCTGATGCAACTGCAAGTATTGCAGCTGGACTCATGCTTTAAATAAAATTAATTTCTGCTCCTATCCTTTCTCTAACATCCCCAAAGACAGGATTGCCCTGGTATGGCACAGCCCATCATATGCCCCCTCGCCCCCATAACTTTGAATACTTCATCCAATTCCTGCCAGATTTGTTCAAGAGCAGTAAATTCAAGTACAGGGTATTCCTACAAGTTCTGTGAACAGCAACTTGTAGGGAA